TTCCTCTGTAGATACAGCAGAGGAGTGAGCATAGCTACCCTAAGTCAGGATGTGTTATTCTCAGGATAGCCAGGTGGAAAAAAACATGCAGCCATCTTATCTAGGACCTGATAAGCTACAGTGTATTAGGGCTCATTCACATGGGCTCAGAAATCCGTGTACCATAAAGCCAGTCAGGTCTCTGTGCCCAGAGCCACATTTGTTGTGTGCAACACTCCGGTAAAAGCTAATGACAGATTGCGGCCTGTCTTCTACAAGTACATACGACCCGCACACAACACCTGTGGCCCCCAGGTGCAGAGATCCAGTTGGTTATTATGGTACGTGGATCTCTGCGTCCGTGTAAATGAGCCCTCAAACTTTTGGTCTTTGGGTTTAGGTCTGATTTAACTTTGTTTTAATATCTAAGGTGCCACAATCCCTTTTACTGAATATTTTAAGGAACGCTGCATTGTTTTTTCTATGCAGGATCCGTGCAGTGGGCACAGCAGCTGTGAACATGTGTCTGGTGGCTACTGGAGGAGCTGATGCTTATTATGAGATGGGAATCCATTGCTGGGATATGGCTGCAGGATCGATTATAGTTACAGAGGCTGGTGGAGTCCTCCTGGATGTGAAAGGTTTGTATCTTCAACAGTAAGTTACTTTTCAATACATGCAGAAAAGGAACTTATTCTAGATTTTCAAAGTACTATATTTATAGGCTTCTCCTAAATGTTAATTAAATATCATCATGAATATAGGATCTCATGCTATATTTCATAAAATATTTAGTGCACAATACACTGTGTATGTATGGCTTCTCCTCCGAAATCTTAAGTAGCCTCAAGGACATACAGCTTACCAATAAACAGCTCCTATTGTGATTAGTGCTGGTTCAGTCCACATGGCAGCACTCTGGCTCCACTTCCATTCACAGCCTTGTTCACACCCACTATTCTAGTTCTGGATTTCAGAGGTCATCTGTAAAAGTGTTAAAGCATCTTCAGACAACATTTAGAAGATGAGTTCCGAACCATTGCAACTGTGCTATAGTAATATTTCACAAATTTAGCTTCAGTTTAACATTTTATGTAATCTATTGCTTACCGGGCTTTGTATAGCTTCGGCGTGAGCCCTCACTTACCTGTAACATGTTTCTATGCTGTGCAGCCTCCCTCTCATGCTGCATTTTTGCAATGACAAGGCTGCAGTGGACTTTGATAGGATATGTTGCTTAGATCCAGGGATCACTTAGTCCTATATTTTTTTCAAGGCACAGATTTAAATATTGGGACCTCCTAGCTGCAAAAATCTAAAAACTAGGATGCAAAATAGAGGAAGGCTGTATATTCTATGTAAGTGTACATGCACAATTTTCATTTCTCTGAGCTCCATTTGCATCTAAACTGACCACATAACAATACAAATGTAATATAAAAAGAAACCATAATAATTTTTCAGCAGATTAAATTATTAGGAACTGTGTTTTGACTGGGGCATATTATTCTGTTTGAGATTAGCTGAATTCCATATTAAAAACCCTCAAGAGTTTATAAGATTAGATCAAATTGTTCATTGGATACCTTTTTAGAGATTAAGTGTTCTGCCAATAGAAGGAATGGAAAAGTTTTTATTAAGGTTGTTATTGAAAAGTAAAGGTTAAAGACCCCATTTGTACTTGGACCTCCAGTTAACAGCCTTTCCATTACATTGTATGGCAAAGAGAGCCGCATAGGGGCAGCACCACCAGCCAGCAGGGCACAGATGAGTTGCGACGCCTACGGCAGGCCATGGCATTTGGCAGATTGTGAGCTGATCTGAGGTCTGTGTTCTGGAATATGTTGTAGAGGACATGTTAAAGGAGAACTATGGGGTCAGGGCTTTTCCCCATAGTTCTCCTTAGGGTAACGGTAGGACACAAACTAGCGTCCTCCCGTCACCCTAGGCTCGGTATACCGCGAGCTACAGCTCGCGGTATACTGAGACGCCGGAGCGGATCCCGACATCGATGTCGAGATCCGCCCAGCTGCGAGAGTGACAGCTGGCTCTGCCTGTCTAGAGGCAGAGCCAGCTGTACCCGCTCCCTCCCCCGTCCGTTCCGCCAGTCAGCGCTGGCGGATCGAATCGGGGAGGGGGGAATCCAGCCCCTCCCCCTGTCACGGCAGAGAGCTGTGACAGGATCGAGAGGTGAGCGAACCCGGTATGTGTTCGCTCACCTCCCGATCTACTGAGCCGACCTGTGACAGTCTCATTGTCACAGGTCGGCTAGAACTATGAGGTGAGTGAAAAGCACTCATCTCATAGTTCTCCTTTTAACCCTAATTTATTATACAAGTATAGCTTTCCTGTGATGTTTCACTGCAGTCTACCTTTAAGATATTTTCTCCACGTTCAATTTTTTTCTGGGTTTCCATTTTCTTCTAACTCATTCCACCCTCTTGTGTTTTTAGGGGGACCATTTGACCTGATGTCCTGCAGAGTGATTGCAGCCAGCAGCACAGAAATTGCGGAGAGAATCTCCAAGGAGCTCCAGCTTATACCATTAGTGCGGGACGATGAGAACACAAAGTAGATCTATTTGTTGGATATACTGTATTCACTTTGCACTCTAGAGTCACTCAGGTGGACATGCCACCTCTATATGCAACCATTTGGGGATTTTACCTTTTTTACGTCATGTACTTGATAATTCTAATATTGTTATTATTAATATTGTTATTTTGTCCTTTTTTTATTTGTCAGTCAAATACAAAAAAAAAGACATCAGGGGCCAGCAAAGAACGATTCTGAAACCTGTGAATTACTTGACACGGCATACACAGGACACATGGTTTATGATTCCATTATCTTTTACATGAGATTAGTTTGATATGTTGTTAAGCAGAAGCGTGTTTATTTGCATTATATGTTACATTGATTCTATATGTTGTGCCATGCAAAGAATTGCCATACATTTTACCATGTGCACATTTTTCTGCAATGCTTGTATATCGTTACTAGGAAGAATGTGGCTGAAAGACAGAAATAATACAGGAACTTATAGAGAGCCGAGGTCTGCTGTTGTTGTTTATATGCAATCACTCTCCTGTTTAAAGTGATATCTGGGAGATGCCTTTTATGTATTGTGCAGAAATAAACTATGGATCTATGACTGCTGCTTTCTTCACTCGGTCTATGAACATACTGTGAGTAAAAGCTTCAAGGTTTTTCACTAACCCTTTGACATTGTCTTGCTAGTCATCTGTCTGATATGTTACACTAAATGGTCCAAACATTGGTGTCACAAGGGGGGTGCGGCCCGCACCCGGGTGACACCAATATGACTGACAGTCATTTTGGTGTCGCCCCTCCGAAAAGTCGGGCACTTGGTCATTGGCCGAGAGCCCGACAGTTGCAGGAGAGAGAGGAGGGGACCCGGCGGCATACCTTATCCCGCCGGGTGAACGTCCCCTCCTCTCTCTGCCAGCATCCATCACCAAGATGGCTGCCGGCAGGTATCAAAAAGATGACAGCGCATGTGCTATCTGCTCCGGGTGACACCCGGCCTTGGGACGCCCCTGGGTCCAAAGACACCACTTCTTGGAGCTATATGGATTTCTCAATTATCCATTCAGGGACACAGCTCTGAAAAATTCTGAGATGTAGAGGCAGCAGCATAAGCCTACGTCTCAGAATTCTTCAGAGCTGCGTCCCTCAATGGACTCTGACAAAAATGTTTACGGTAAGAACAAAATCCGCGTTGCAGTTCACATGCAACCAGGCTTTCCACCTCCAAAGAGAAGGCGGAACACCTATTTCCCCAGTCATCTTCCAGGACAGCCATCGAGATATAGGCTCCGCCTGCCTGCAACAGGAAACACATCAACCACATTAAATAAATAGACTCCTCCTTCCATCCCAAGTCAGTTTTTTTGTCTTTCCGTCTGCTACACAGGGACATGTGAGGTTACTGACTTGGGATGGAAGGAGGAGTCTATTTATTTAATGTGGTTGATGTGTTTCCTGTTGCAGGCAGGCGGAGCCTATATCTCGATGGCTGTCCTGGAAGATTCCTGGAAACAGAGTTATCAGGTAATCAACTCATGTTTTCAATCAGTAGTTCATATACAGAATGTTTATAGTTTGAAACAAGTAGCAGCAGAACTTTTATAAATGTTTGGGGTTTTTTGCATCTTGTAAATGAGCTCAGTAAAAGTACACAAATAATAAGAGATTGCTTTCTTTATTCTTCATTATTAGTTCGTAAGGTCTTCATCTCTATATAACCTGCAACACAAAGGTATGAATGGGGTGTGAAAGCAACATGTTGGACTGCAATGTAACTTTCAAGCCTCCTATTGCACAGGGCTGCCAGAGGTCATTACCAGACTTTCAGCAGAACAATATCGGATAATACCATGCTGTGTGGGTGCTGGAATTCAGATTCTGTTTGTACTCAGGAATCTAACCCATTTCATATACACTTCTAGCTAATTCATAGAAGAGATCGGCCATATTCCTTTGTGCCAGGAAGAGGTAAGCAGTATTACACTGATTAATGGAACGTGATGGTTGGGGAGTACTATGTTGGAGATCTACGAAGTGAAATTCTGAGATGTTTAAACATCTTAGAATCTTATATCCACAACTATGTATAAATGATTTCTCTTCTCAGTTCAGTTTGTGTTTATATAACATTTATTCTACATGATCTGATATGAACAAGAACTGTATAGTGTACATTATAATTGGCAGTAAATACAGTAAAGTATTTCATCTTCTCTACAAGTAGTAAATATATTAATACTCTCTTTATACACACATTATGTTTTATCATACATATAAATAATATCAAAGGGGAAAAAAACAAGGGTTTAAAGGTAACACATCTCCCCTTGAGCTCAGACGTTTTCAACTCCCCATCTTGCTTTACAGTACCATAAAATTTACAAACATTCAAATCCCTTATGGCCCGTTCACACCAGATGTATTGGGGCAGCGCTTTTCCAGGGCAGTCCCAATGCACAGACCAGGTAATTTGCCTTGTTTTAAATTGGCTCAGTTCACGCACTACTTTTTTCAGCATAGCATGGTGTGATGCAGTACAACACACAATGCTGTGCTGATAGAGTTTAACAAAATTTCACTTGTGGCATTTCAATAAGTTCTAACACCAAAAAAGTAAGCAGTCTGATGCGCCGGGGTCGGAGCAACAACACTGTGCCTATCAGTGAAATAGCCCTAAATGCCAAGCTGCGGCACTGGTGGCGATATTTCTTCTTGCCCTGGTGGCCACTCAGGAAGTGAAGAAAAACATTGGCAAAGGTTTTGCTAAATAAATAGTTTGATTTTTGCCGGTGTCCCCAATTTAAAAATCCCCTCCCTACCTGTGCCATTGACCACACAGCATGTAGGGGAATTCTCCCCAGTGGGCTGAACTGTCCTTTCTCTTACAATCAGTCCTTCCTTAAAATGACATCTAAAGCACATTTCGGGATATAATATTGTTAATAACGGTGTGCAGCTACGTGACAAACAGGGAATGCAGAGCAAGACATTTTCACATTTTAAAAATCAACATAGGAGTTAATAAAGTTAAAAAACTAACCCAACTAGACTAGTAAAACTGCAGGCATCAAGTCTTTTGACTTTAGCAGTTCAATAAAAGCTACTTAAAGACCACCATAAGGGAGTATTGTGCTCCGAAAGAAGATACGTCAAGGACATGGACACTCTGTTATATTTTAAAAGCCGCACAGGTTACAAACATTTAAAAGATGTCAGGTCTTCTGGCCGCTTCATGTGTAACAATCACGTTTTCTCAAATGCAAATGGATATCCTTCAGTATTGAGTATTGTGCTGCTGTTATTCATACCAGTTGGCATATACACAAATGTATATGGACATGGACAAATTTGTTGGTACCATTCCAGCTCATTGAAACAGTTCTACAAAACTTCCTGAAAAGTGGTGACATTAAAAGCAATTGTCTCATAGAGTAAAACAAAAAAGTGAAAATAGATGTATTTTATTCTACAATTGAATTCTGAGATTCTAATTAATCTAAGATTTTCTAAAATGGCCTGGGCAGATTTGTTGTTACCTCTAGAAACAATTATGCATAGTTGGATCATAGTCATGTTTTTAAACTGTTTTCTGTAATGAGTATCACACGTCTTTAATCTTGCAGTCACAGCCAGCCTACTGAAATGGAAAAAAAAGTAGTCACTCTGCTGTTTGTTATTATGATGTGTACCACATTGAACATAGACCTGAGAAAGCAAAGAATACATTTGTCTGAGGAGTTCAGAAAGAAAATTATAGACCAACATGTCAAACGTAAAAGCTATAAAGCCATCTCCAAACAGCTAGTGTGTGTGTGACTACAGATGCACATATTATTAAGAAGTGTAAGGTCCATGAAAGCCAACCTCCTGGATGTGGCCACGAGAGGAAAATCGACCCCCAGATTGAACAGAAGGATACGGTAGTATGAATGGTAGACAAACAGCCAAGGAAAACTTCCAAAGAGATACAAACTACTCCAAACTCAAGATACATCAGTATCTGACCACACCAGCCGTCGCTTTTTTAACAACAGGGGGCTCTAAGGAAGACTCCACTGTTAAAAGAAAATCAGACTAGAATTAGCTAAAATGCATATTGATAATCAACAATGCTTCTGGAAGAATGTCCTTTAGACAGAGGAGACAAAATAGGAGCTTTTTGGCAAGTTACATCAGTACTTCAAAAATTAAGCTTTCAAAGAAAACACCAAACCTACTGTGAAACATGGAGGAAGCTCAGTTATGTTCTGGAGCTTTTTTTGGCGTGTCCCACACAGTGCGCCTTTGAATGTGTGCAGTGCAGAATTAAATCTCAAGACTATCAAGGAATTCTGGAGCAAAACACTGCCCAGTGTCAGAAAGCTCTGTCTTAGTCATAGGTCATGCATCAGGATAATGACCCCCCAAAAAAACACAGAAGCCCCCCAGAATGGCTAAGAGTAACAATGGACTATTCTTAAAGGAGAACTATGGGGTTAGGGCTTTTCGCCATAGTTCTCCTTAGGGTAACGGGAGGACACAAACTAGCGTCTTCCCGTCACCCTAAGCTCAGTATACTGCTCGCTGTATACTGAGACGCTGCAGCTGAAGCGGATCCTGACAATTATGTCTGGATCCGCCCAGCTGCATGAGTGACAGCTGGCTCTGCCTATCTATCAAAAAACATTTTGCTTAAAAAGAGTGGGCCAAACTCCCTGTTAGAATGTGCAGAAGTCTCAGTGAGAGCTACAGAAATCACTAATTTGCAGTGATTCCCTCTAATGGTTGTGAAATATTAGATTAAGGGCCCATCATTTTTGTCTGTGCCATTTTCATTTTTTTGTATTATATAAATCATTCCGTATAATAAAAAAATCACTTTTGTCGGTTTCAAGTAATTTCAGAGAAATTGTGGGTTATAATTTATTTGTAGAAGGGTACCAACACATTTGTCCACATCTGTAGTTACCTGAAGAGTAAATTCAATGGATAGGGGCAAGCTGTGTAACTTAAGTGCTTCAGTCGTACATTGTCCAGATCACCATGGACATCGATATCTAGTTTTAGTAAAACGGCCATTTTCTTTTCTGTTTATAATTATTATTTTATGCTTCCGGGTTATTCACCAAAATTACATTTTG